ATAGACGTGGGTCTAGCTCTTCCAATCCCCAACCTCTTATAAATTGTTAGGGGCATAAGATTTATGTTAGCCCCCAAATCATAGAGTGCCTTGGCAAAAGCAAAGTTACCAATGGTGCAGGGAGTTGTGAAACTCCCTGGGTCAGACAGCTTCTCAGCAACTGGTCTAGTCACCACAGCACTGCAGGTCTGAGTAAGAGTCACTGTGGCCAAGTCTTGGAAATCGAATTTTCGGGACATCAAGTCCTTTATCATTTTTGCATAACCAGGCATCTCCTTCAAGGCATCAATCAATGGAATATTTACCTGGATTTGTTTCAGCATCTCCAAGAATTTCTTATATTGCTCTTCTTTCTGGTACTTGGCCAACCTCTGTGGGAATGGTGCTGAGGTCTCTTCTTCCCAATGATTTGGGACTGCTCTTTGTCAGCTGCCACCTCAATTACCGGTTCCTGGGCTGTCTCAGCTTCTTTCTCAGCCTCAATCTGTATGTTATGTTCTTCCTGGGCAGGCTGTACTGTTACCTCTATCAGTTTCGTTGACTCATCTATCTTGATGGGCACTGGTATAAGTGTCTCAGCCTGTCTGCTTTCTCGGGCCCTCTCTTGCTCCAAGTCTAAGTCTCTGCCATTACGTAGACTCACTGCCATCAACTGCTTCGGGCCTTGATCTTTTGGATTTACCTGAGTGTCTGCAAGCAATGTCACATGAGGACGATTGTTCAAGGACATCAAAATCTAGCCCATCTGTACTTCAATATTCTTAATAGCTGACTCATGTGCATCTACTCTTTCACTCATTTTTGCATTTGACCCAATAACCTGCTGCATCATTGCCTCAAGTCTAGCAAACCCATCTTCTTGTCTTCCACCATGCTGTTGCTGAGGAGGATGATAACCCTATTGCTAATTTTGATTATTATATCCCTGTGGCCTTTGGTAGGGCACCATATTATTGTGAGGTCTCATACCTCCCATGTTTCCATTGTTGAGTTGTGGCTGGACTGGCCTGTATGGCTGCTGTTGTTGGCCCCAATTTTGACCACCCTATCTCTGGCCTCCATAGTTAGACACATAATTCATGTCCTCAGGGTAGTGATGATGATCACTTTCTGCATTCCACTGGTTACAAATTGGCTGACTAATGCAAGATGTGCATAAGCCCCCATTGGTAGTATCTACGATGTGTACCTGTTGCTTCTGCCCTGACTCTTCCACCTTTTTGGTGAGTATACTCATCTGTATCATTAATGTGGCTATGTTTTCAGCAAGAGTGTTGGATGGATCTAAGGGCACTTAGTGAACCACTGGAGTGATAAGTGCGTTCCTGGTTGTCCACCCCGAATTATGTGCCATCTTATCAAGCAGACTCTGGCTTTCTCTCCATGTTTTGCTCAAAAATGCTCCACCAGATGAAGCATCAACATTACCCTTCACGCCATCTGCCAAACCCATGTAGAACCGCTGCCCCAATATCTGATCTGGAATACCGTGGTGCGGACATATAACCAGCATCCCTTTGAATCGTTCCCATATTTCTTGCAGTGTCTCCATTGGTCTCTGTTTGAAACTCAAAATTTCATCAATTTGTTGAGCAGTCTTGTTGGGTGGATGAAACTTGTTCACAAATTGCTTGACTAACTCCTCCCAAGTTGTTATGGAATTAATGGGGAGTGAGTTTAGCTAGGTCTGGGCAGCTCCTGTCACTGAGAATGGAAGCAACAACAGCTTGATTACTTCCTGAGTTACGTTGGGCTGCCTTTGAGCTTTGCATATTGATAAGAAATTCTTTAAGTGCTGTTGAGGATCTTCGATTTGTGACCCCGAAAATAGCCCCCTGTTTTGCAACAAGTGCAGCATGTTGTTCGTGATTTGAAACGATTCAGCCTGTATCTGTCGAACTAAAATCGTTGTGGCCAAATTTTCAACTGTGGGTTGTGCCCTGTCATATAGAGCAGCCTTTGGCACAAGAGGTGCCACTAGCGCTAATGGTGCAGCTGGGTCTACCATGTTGTCCCCCATGTCCGGTTCGAATTGTTCAATTGTTTGTTGTTGTTTGTTTTTCCGGTTGGCCCGATTCAAGGCCTTGAAAACTTTCTCGGGATCTGATAAGGCTTCAAATACTTCACCAGTTCTTGATGAGTTTCTAGGCATGCACCTATACAACCAAGTCAACAAACGTTAAAATTTCAATATAAAGATTTGAAGTGAAGAAAACTGACTACACTAAGAATTTTTATATTTCTTTCAATTGTAATTGATAAAACCATTAAGTCCCCGGCAACGACGCCAAAATTTGATCACGCCCAACTATGCCTTATTAAAAAGGACGTTGCAAATATAATATGAGTATTTAGCCCAGAGTCGAACCCACAAGGAATTAACCTATCAATTACTCTTGTTAGACTCACTAAATTCTACATAATCAACTTCCCAAACTTTTTAAATAACAATTGAGGATATTTTTACTAACTATAACTGACTGCAGTTAAGTAAACAAAGACTAACTATGATTAAGTTGTAAGCAATTAAGAGAAGGATCTAAGGTTATGATTTTCCCTATTGATGGAATCCGTTCATGTTATGTTTCATATAGATTTGCCTAACCGTCTCTATCAATCATGAGCACTCTTATTACCGTAAATCTCTCCCGAGTAATCACAATAATTTACTAGACGCACTCTCCTGAGTTACGCTAGCTGGCTTTTATTACAGCTCACTTAAGATTGCACCCAAGGCTTCGTTAAACCCTCGGTTATTGATCCCTCATATACTCTGGGAGCGGTGTTGTTCAACAATTACCTAAATATACACTCTCTTCCGAGTAATACATACTAAATAGGCACAACTAATTGAGGATCCTATCAATTAACTACAACAAGAACATAGCTGAACAAATAAAGAATAAACCGGGCAAACTATATTAACATATCAAGAAGTTCATCCTTCAATAGGTTCCATCAAAACCTCAGACTAAATATTTAGCTACTCATACTAGTGTTCATCATAACAATAGCCAAATTCATCACAAATGATAAAATACAAAAGGAAGAAAGGAAGAACTCGATGTTGAATTATCCTACTTGCCTCTTGCCTCTCCTTGCCTTCAACTAAGCTGTAAAAACCTTGATCATGTTCCTTTGGGCGAGCTGGACCTTTTATAGGTTAAGTGAAATTACCCCCGAACTTCCAAGTTTACCGCTGAATTTTATTTTTCGGAATTGGACTAGAGCGGTTGCGCTAATGGGCGCGCTACTGACCGCGCATTTGGCATAACATTCTGCCTCAAACTCCTGGGCTAGCGCGGTCGCGCTAGTGGGCGTGCTAGTCTGGGTCATCATATCAGCCCTTCTTTCTCTCTTCTTCTAACGTACTCAGCTCCGAGGGGCTTCTCTTGCTTCAATTTATCTCGAATTACAGTTCTTAGTCCTCATACACGCAACTCGCTCCTGCAAAGCATGAAATTCACAATTAGAGCCAATTTATCATCATTTAACTATCCTATAATAGTGAAACATAGTCAAGCTGGGGCATAAACAGTCGCCAAATTACATGAATCTAGCCTATTATCGTTTAGTTTTTTAAATAAAATATGTACTTATAATAATTTGGGATATCATGATGGTCGCCTCATAGTAGTAATATTTGTAATATTATTTTATGGCTTCCTGACCACTTAAACTTGTACCAGTTTTTAAAGCCGATACATGAACTTATATTTTTCCCATTTGAACACTTCAACTTGACGGAATGAATACTAATAAATACTTTCTGGTGAACGCGATCATCAATCACTCTAACATGAATGCCATGTCACATGTTTGGTCTTTATTATATGACATGTAGATTTGCGGGTCCTATATTATTAAAAAAAATTAATCTTTAAAATTTTTAATTTCTTTTTCTTTCTCTTTTTTCTCCACCATACACAGCCAATAGTCCACCAACAACTCCAAACCTCAGCCATTTGCAATCACCATCATCTTCTTCCTCCTATATGAAAGCTTCATATTCAAATCATAATCACCTACCACCGAATCACACCCTCCCCCCTTCACCCACCTTTTTCCAGTAAAATCTATTGTTGTTCTACAACCTAAATCATCCAAAAAGCCAACAAATATTTATTTCAAAGTATTTCACTAAATGCCACCGGTATTAAAGCAACATAATTTTTTCTCAATTCATCTATCAGCTGCAATCTACTAAGTAGGTGTACTATAGAAGAAAGAAGAGAAATTGAAAAGAAAGAAGAAAAGAAAGGGGGGGGGGGCTGATGGCAACGAATAATGAATGGAGGTACTGGTAAAGAGGAATTGAGGGAGGTTGGGACGAGGTGGGTGGAGACTAGCAAATAAAAGAAAAAATTATTGAACGGGGAAGAGAAAGGGAAAAAAGAAATGGGGAAGGAGAGGGAAAGTAGGATAGAAAATGAAAAATTTACAGGATGGGGATGAGAGTTCGCTTGGGAAGATGAGAGAGGTGGGAGGGGAGGGGAAAAGAGACGGGCAGAGAGAAAGGTCTTTTTTTTCTTTTTTTTTTCTTTCTTATTTATATTTTATTCTATTTCTAATATCTTCTTAATAAAAATACAACTATTCACGCACCTTGGCAGCTTGATTTGCACACAATTTAGCCATGTCAGCTGTGCCACTTCCACATAAGCTTGGTCAATGGTCAAATGTATTTATTAGTATTCATTTTGTCAAGTTGAAGTATTCAAATGGGAAAAATATAAGTTCATATATCGACTTTACAAACCGGTACAAGTTTAAATGGTCAGGAAACCATTACGCCTTAAAATAAGGAAGTGTTAAAATAGATAAATATATGTTTGTCTATAAGAATACAATTTTTGGTTTGGGCAGTAAAGTCTATAAGAAATTCATATTTAAACCTAATTAATTACCTATCAAAAAACGGCCCTACCAATATGTTAAGGAGGAAGTTTCTGTTAAAAGAGGCGCGTCCTTTCAAAAGTCTTCATCCCCTGCTGATTTATTTGAGTCTTTATTTTGAAAATTCACACACAAATCCTTTCCAAAGAAATTCTTCCTCTTCTTTCCTCCTGTTGACTTCTCTCAAATTGCCTACTATTTTAATCACTCTTATCATTTCCATTTTTATTCATCTAAGAAATTTTCCTTATTTGTTTTCCTTTTCTCCCTGTCACCCTCTTCCTCACTCTGTTTCTACAACTATGAAATAAGCAGCTGATTAGTTGGGCGCGCCGATCTTCGGGACTCAAAATTTATGTAAAGAAGAGGTAAGAGTTATGATGTTCTAATTGCCAAATATAGAAGTCCTCCTGTAATCTTTTTGAGAATTTTTTTGATTTAGTACTACTGATAGCTTTCTTCCGCTGTTTTTTTTAAGAAGGTGGCAGTTTATTAATTGCCCAGATTTTTTTTTTCTATTTTTATTTAGATGCAATTTTGTGTTAGTTTCAGGCTTTCAGCACAGAACACTACTTCAATTTGTTTTTGTTCTTCTTTTTACTGGGAATTCTGATTAGGAGTATATGAACAAAAGCTAAAGTTGCTCTGCAGAATGAAAAATGATCGCAAAGTTCACTTGAAGATTTGTATAAAACCTGCAGAAAGATGATTAACTATGTTACCGTTGACTTAAAAGAAAGAAGGACAATAGTTATGGCAGCTGAATTTATAAGCTAATAATTTCCAAATAAATGTTAAATAGTTAGCTCATGTTTCGAGTGTTACTAGTTCAAGGTATCCTAATCTTGAAAGTCACGAGTGAAAGCTTAACAACGATAATGTAATGAAGAGTAGGGGAGCTTTAGAGCAACGGTAAAGTTGTCTCCGTATGACTTATACGTCACGGGTTTGAGCCATGGAAGCCGCCATTAATGCTTGTATTATGGTAAGCTGTTTATATCACACCCCTTGGGGATGCGCGGTCCTTCCCCGACTCTATTGTGAATGCGAGATGATTTGTGCACCGGACTATAACTACCCTTTAAAGTATGTAATGAAGTACTATAACGACTTGACATTTAAAAGATAAAGCTATGAAATCAGAAATGAATTCAATTGACAAGATATTGAGATATGTTATGTTGATACTCGATAATATTCATTGAACAAATAGTTGCCTTTTTAATTCACTATATGGACATATCCTTTTAGATTTGATCCTCAATACATCGAAACTGAACTTTTAAAACAAAAACAGCATATCAAGATGTTTTACTAAATTGAGTTTCAATAACAATTTCAATTATTAAAATAAGACATTTCATTACATTTCATGTCAAACATAAACTAGGCTTAAGTTACCCTGTTATCAAGCTAATATATGATAAAGTTTAAGTTGATTGCGAATTTATATTAATAATCTATTTTTTTTCCGGATATATGGGTGTGGCATCACCTAAACTTTAGCATACAGGGATACGGATAGGAGTATGGATACTTCTGTTAAAATACATCCAATAAACGTATGTTATGATATACATAAGTATATATTTCGACAATCAATTCAAGTTATTAAATTAAAGTTAATACAATTAAATTAGTTGTAAATACTTAATATTTAAAAGAGGAGCACTTGGTCACCTTCCAAAGTGCAGTGGCCAAGACCCAGATTGATTACTTACTTCTCAAGAAGTATGATAAAAGGGTATGCACGGATTGTTAGGTTATCTCGAGCGAGAATCACGTGACTCAACATAGGCTCTTGATTATGGACTTGGGGATTACAAGGGAGAGGAAAAAAAAGGTTGTGTATGGTCAACCCAAGATCAAATGGAGAGCTTTAAGTAAGGATAAATCCCAGGAGTTGGCGGAGAAGCTAACAATTATGAGGGCATGGATGAGTAGTATAACGCCAGTAGTATGTGGACCAAGATAGCGAATTGCATCAGGGAAGCAACTAGAGAAGTGCCAGGGGACTAGAAGAGCCACTCTGGAAGGCAGAAAGGAGACTGTTGGTGGAATGGAGATGTCCGAGGGAAAGTGGAGGTTAAGAAGGCGGTGTATCTGAAGTTGATAGAGAGCAAAGACGGTGAGGAAAAGAGCGCGGACATGGATTAGTACAAGACGGCTAAGAGGGAAGCAAAGATAACGGTCACGGAAGCGAAGACAACTGCGTTTGGACGTTTGTATAAAGGGCTTGAAGACAAAGGCGAGGACAAAAAGTTATACAAGCTAGCCAAGGTGAGAGAGTGAAGTGCATCAAAGACGAGGAAGAAAAAGTATTAGTGGAAGAGGCGCATATTAAATAGAGATGGCAGGCGTACTTTCATAAACTCTTGAACGATGAAGGAGATAGGAACATTATGTTGGGTGAACTGGATCACTCCGAGAGTCACCGAGATTTTGGGTAATGTAGGGTGATAAAGGTCGAGGAGATATAGTGGGCTATGCGTAGATGAACATGGAAAGAGCGACCAGGCTCGACGAGATTCTGGTTGAGTTTTGGAAGAGCGCTGGCAGGGAAGGTTTGGAGTGGCTCATAAGCCTATTTAATGTCATTTTTAGGACATCCAAGATGTCTGAAGAATGAAGGTGGAGTATGATGATCACAGTATATAAGAACAAGGGGATATCCAAAACTGCGATAATTATAGGGGTATTAAATTACTCAGCCACACTATAAAATTTTGGGAGAGAGTGGTGGAGATGAGGGTGAGGAGGGGAGTATGTATATTCGAGAATCAGCTTGCACTCATGCCAGGGCGATCCGCCACATAAGCCATTCATCTAATTAGGAGGTTGGTGGAACAATATAGGGAGAGGAGGACGGACTTGCATATGGTGTTCATCGATCTGGGTAAAGCATATAACAAAGTCCCTAGACAAGTTGTATGGAGGTGCTTGGAGGCGAAAAGTGTCCTTGTAGCATATGTTAGGATGATTAAGGATATATATAAAAGAGTTAAGACCCGGGCAAGGGCAATAGGAAGAGAATCGGGAAACTTCCCGGTCATGATGGGGTTACACCAGGGGTCAGTGCTTAGCCCATTCTTATTCGCCTTGGTGATAGATGTATTAACGTGGCATATTCATGGAGATGTGTCTTGGTGCCAGTTATTTGCATATGACATAGTATTGATTGACAAGACGCGAGATGGAGTTAACGCCAGGGGTTTAAGTTGAGCAGTATTACAACGGAGTACAAGTTCAGTGGCGTAACTCATGAGGATGAAGTGGATGTGAGGTTTGATACTCAGGTCATCCCTAAGCGGGATAGTTTCAAGTATCTTCGTCAGGAATCCAAACTGACGGGGAAATTGATGAGTATGTCCACCGTATTGGAGAAGAATGGATGAAATGGAGGCTTGTTTCTGGTGTATTGTGTGATAAGAAGGTGCCACCAAGACTTAAAGATAAGTTCTACAAAGTGATGGTTAGACTAACTATGTTGTATGGGGCCGAGTGTTGGCCAGTTTGGAACTCTAATGTCCACAAGTTGAAAGAAGCGAAAATGAGGATGTCGAGGTGGATATGTGGGCATACTAGGAGAGACAGAATCAAGAATGAAGATATTCGGGACAAGGTAGGGGTAGCCCTCGTGGAGGATAAGCTGCGATAAGTGAAACTGAGATGGTACTAGCATGTGAGGACGAGATGCCCTGATGTCCCAGTAAGGAGGTGTGAGAGGTTGCACATGGTGAGTCTAAGGAGTGGTAAGGGTAGACCTGAGAAATATTGAGGATAGCTGATTAGGCATAGTATGGTGCTTCTTCATCTTACTGAGGGAATGACCCTTAATATGGGGTAGTGAAGGTCGAAAATTAGAGTAAAGAGTTAGTGAGTAGTAAAGGGTATCCCCTTACGTACCGGTAGTTTTAGTACTACTCTAGTTCTGGCATATTCTTGGACTCTTATTATTACTTGATATTGCTTATGTTTCGGTTTGTTAATATCACGTTGTTGCTATGTTTCCATGACTTGTTCAATTTTTATATTGTATTTCTTTACTACTGATATTGTGCTTACTTGAGCCGAGGGCCTATCGGAAATAACCTCTCTACCTGCATAAGGTAGGGTCAAGGTCAGCGTACACACTACCCTCCCACATCCCGCTTGTAGGAATATACTGGGAATGTTGTTGTTATTTAATATTTTATTCATAAGTAATCTCATATAATAGCATAGTATTTTAGTACTTTATATGAGATAAAACCAAAATTAAACCAAATACTCAACCAACTTATACTTCTTTATTGGTTATAAGTGTACTCAAAGAACTCAAGTTAGATTGACCAAATCCAGTGCGAATCCCACCCCACGTGTCGGGTCAACATAAATGCAACAAGGATTTGAAGAATCCGAGCAACATAATCAAAGATGAAAGTTGCATTTAAAACATTAATTACATCACTCAACACAGTCAACTAAGCCAAGTCGAGTTGGCTCGGTAAGCAAGCTTGATTCATCTTTAACCGAGTCGAGCTGATCTTAGCCAAGTTTCAACTTAACTAAGCTGAGCCAAGCCCAGCTCAAGCCGAGCCCCGACCAGCTCAGCTTTTGTCCATGCCTAGTTAAGTCAAAAATCTACAAAGAAACAGAAGGGAAAAGAAAAAGGATTTGCAAAGATGAGTTTTGTATAAATAAGTTCTGCAATCTAAGAAATTCAGGTATTGTATATCTTTTGTGCCTTTCTTCCTTTTCAGCAAGGCTAGAATTGATTCTCAAGGTTGATGCCTTTCTCTATTAGATATGCCACTTCTAATGATGGTTACCAGCCCTTGTATAGAATTTGCATAGAGTTTCAGGAAACTAGCAAATTTATTGTTTCCAAATAAGTTGTACCCTTTCCTTAAACTCCAGTAGGTCAATTAAATTGGCTAATTCTCTTCCCTTTTTTGTCCATCTACAAACACCTTTAACCTTATGAATTGTTTTTTTTCCTTATAGATCTTTTTTTACCATTTGGGAAGGTGTATTCCTAATGCACAAATTAAAATCTTATGCGTTTATGTCATTTTAATAGTACTTCAAATAGTTCTCTTACATTGTTTCTATGTTGTACAGGCTCAAGATTGATATAAGATCTTGCAATTAGGTCTCATTTCATCTGGCAAAATGGAGAGAACAACCCCTTCAATTTTATGTAGTCTCTTTTTTATTGCATTGATCCTACTTCTACCAGAACTTTCAGTGGGTGAGCCAAGATCTCAGACAGTCCAGATCATATGTGGAAAACAAATCGAGCAAAATACAACGATTTTTGTCCCAAACTTTGTTGCCACAATGGAAACTATAAGTCAGCAAATGAGGACTAGAGGATATGGAGTAGCAGTTAATGGAACTGGACCCAACACTAACTATGGACTGGCGCAATGCTATGGCGATCTTTCTTTACTTGACTGTGTCTTATGCTATGCTGAAGCGCGAACCGTTCTGCCCCAGTGCTTCCCTTATAACGGAGGGAGAATCTATCTTGATGGCTGCTTTATGCGAGCAGAGAATTACACATTCTATGACCAGTACTTAGGTCCAGAGGACAGGCATGTATGTGGAAATAGGACCACAAAAGGTTCTTTGTTCCAACAGACTGCCCGGCGAGCTGTTCAGCAAGCGGTTGCAAATGCACCGAGTAATAATGGCTATGCACGTGCTGAAGTGCCAGTGCCCGGGCCTTCCAACGAGACAGCTTATGTTCTTGCTGATTGCTGGAAGACACTGAGCGCAAACGCCTGCACAGCATGTTTACAAAGTGCATCTGCTTCCATGTTGGGATGCTTACCTTGGTCAGAAGGTCGAGCGTTGTACACTGGATGCTTCATGAGATATTCTGATACAAATTTTCTCAATGCTATTTCTACAAGCGGAGGCTCATCGTCAGGAGGTAATGTTTACACTTTTTCGTCCTGGTTCACCTGTTATTTATTGAGTGAAAAAGTAATTACGCTGAATAATGGTCTTTTTTACTCTCAAATGATCATATTGCAGGAAAAGTTGTAGTCATTGTAATTGTTGTTGTTAGTTCTGTGATAGTCTTGGCAGTAGGTGCTGTCATTGGTATTTATATCTGGAAGAACAAACAAATCCAGAAGAAGAGAAAAGGTAAATTCTTTTGTGCCAAAATTATTGCTAAAAATCAATATATATAATGAACATATATTGAATCGTATGCTAAAAGGTTTGTAAAAGCAGAAACTAGCAACATTTTGTAGCTGAGCATTTACCTTGAATAACGGTCAACAACTCGTGTTTTTTCCAATTTGAACTTGTCAGGTGCAAAGGATGCGGAGAAACTAGTTAAGATCCTTCACGACAGCAGCTTGAACTTCAAATATTCCACACTTGACAAAGCCACAGGGTCATTCGACGAGGCCAACAAGCTCGGGCAAGGTGGATTTGGCACAGTTTATAAGGTAATGGCTGAATGCTGTACAATTATAGTAAATCTTCAAAGTTGTAGATTGTCCATAACAGTAATGCAATACTATGAGGTCAACTCATTGCAGGGTGTTCTGCAAGATGGGAGAGAGATTGCGGTCAAAAGACTGTTCTTCAACAACAAACACAGAGCTGCAGATTTCTATAATGAGGTTAACATAATTAGTAGTGTTGAGCACAAAAACTTGGTAAGGTTATTGGGATGCAGCTGCTCAGGACCGGAAAGCCTTCTCGTATATGAGTTCCTCCCTAACCAGAGTCTTGATCGCTTCATCTTTGGTGAGTAACCGATTTTGCACTAGGACTAAGTGTTGTATTTTCACATAACCACAACGATGACTTTGTCACACATCTTGATTCTAATTTTAAAATTGACAGACTCTAACAAAGGTAAAGCTTTAAACTGGGAGAAAAGATTTGAGATAATTATAGGGACTGCAGAAGGTTTGGTATACCTCCACGAAAACACAAAGAATCGAATAATTCACAGAGACATAAAAGCAAGCAATATACTGTTGGACTCGAGGCTCCGTGCAAAAATTGCTGATTTTGGGTTGGCTAGGTCATTCCAAGAAGACAAGAGTCACATAAGCACTGTTATTGCTGGCACATTGTTAGTATTTCTTTCTTTCATCTTCTAATTTATAGCGACTAATATGGTCCGAGAATCTTTTTCGTGCAACTATAATGGACCAACCTCAGAAATTTGATGCAATATAATGAATGATTTACCCTTCTAATATGCAGAGGATATATGGCTCCGGAATACTTAGCACATGGCCAATTAACGGAGAAAGTAGATGTTTACAGCTTCGGAGTTCTTCTACTGGAGATTGTTACGGGAAGGCAAAATAACAGGAGCAAAAACGCAGAATATACGGACAGCTTAGTTTCCATTGTAATTTATGAATCACTTTTTCAATCCTCTTCTGCTCAATTGAAAACTTGTTGCTCATTGCTTTATCTATTGGATGAAACAGGCATGGGAACACTTTCAACGTGGGACAACGGAGGAACTGTTCGATCCAAATCTCATGCTGCATAACTACCATACAATCAATGTGAAAAATGAGGTGCTGAGAGTGTTACATGTAGGACTTCTATGCACTCAAGAAATCGCGACGTTAAGGCCATACATGTCTAAGGCATTACAGATGCTCGTCAAGAAAGAAGAAGAGTTGCCTCCACCTACTAATCCGCCTTTTATAGATGAGAAAACCATGGAACTTCATGACCCTCGGGAGAAGTACTCAAACGACCCGCTTAGAGAAGGCGATTCTGCTTCGGTTGCCACCTTATCTAACAGCGGTTTTTATCCCAGATGATCTCCTGAAACTGATATAAAAAAAATTCCATCTCAAGCATCATATCAGATAGTTGCTTTAATCATTTTGTTCATAGTTAGAGATGTTTGCACCAATCAAGGGGGATCATATCACCCTAATAGAGTTGCTGTTTACATGACCAGAAAGAGAAATCAGAAATACTTGATTTCAAACTTACAGTGATATTTATGGAATCTAAATGTAGAATTTCATGTGTGTGAATTTATGTATTTGCTTATAGCCTGTTTGGCCAAGCTTCTAAAATCTGTTTATTTTGAAAAGTGTTTTTCAAAAAAGTACTTTTGGTAAGAATCAGTTTGTGTTTGGCTAATTAATTTGAAAAGTACTTTTGAGTAGTAATTAGTGTTTGGCCAAGCTTTTGAAAACTGCTTCTAACTGTATTTCTCTCAAGAGTGCTTATCAGAAAAGTACTTTTTGACCCATCTATATTTTGATCACGAATTAACGAAATGACATTTGGATTGTTAAACAAAATAAGAGAATTTTTGTTTTAACCTTGGGTACAAGGAATGATCATACTCTAATTCAAACTAGATTTGGAGTAAAAGAAAATGCACTTCCGTTATTCTAAGATTCCCATTTCTCATCTCATTAAAAAGAAAAGTTATCCGTAAGTCAAATCAATGGGGTCTTCGATTCTAACACAAACCAACTATTTTGTCTCGGTTCTCGTTCAATTCGCTTAGAGGATTTGTATTAACTACACAAGCTACCAAAACTACACCCATCCAATCTACCTATCTCTCCTAAACCCCTTTCTCGCCCTTCATCGTTATTGAAATATAGGTCCTCAGCAGCGGAGGCGGATCCAGGAGTTTAAGCTTATGGGTTCCTACACTATCTCAAAGTAATATACAATAACAAACCAAACCAATGAACCGGGTTCCAAGTTAAATATTCTTGTAGAATTAAATATTCTCTCCTAATAGCCCTTCATCGTTATTGAAATATAGATAGCAGGCGGGAACAAAAAGAGAAAGAAGAAGATAGAAAGGTTCGATCGGTCCCTATTGTCTCGTCTGGTTACCAAATCAGCAGTAAAATGGCATACATCTTGTATACATCTAACTTAACAAATTTATACTTTCACATTATATATATCCTGTTCGCTCTCATGTTGTGCCACCTTTCTTGCACTAATTATATATATCTATTCACAGTCTTCTCTTCTTTTGCCATTCATGCAATTTAGAAAGTTGAGGCTTTGCATTGTCAAGCAAATGTAGATATCTTGTAACTTTACCATGAATATTACATGATAAGTATCAGTTTCTGTTAAAGTTGAACTTACTAGTAAATGTTAATCAGTTAACTCATTCTGTTATGAATTTTCTATTCTAGCAGCAAAAGTAGTACCTTATTCACATTCAGCGCGGTGAGTTAACTAATAGCCGTTTTTCTGGGTGGCCGTGAGAAATTGTAGCAACATTCAATCGAGAAAATAAACATAAAACTAATTGAATGATATGTTTCAGCTGCATTGTGCTCAATATTGAAAAGTATACACTAGCCCAGGCACATAATTTTAGTATAACGCAAATGGCGATTGAAATTCCTACATTTGGTTACTGACTTACTATAGTAGAGCACATGAAGATTGTAAATGAACCTTCATTGTGCAGTTATACTCTAACCAAATTTCACTACTAGAAATCCGGAAAAAAACGACCACAAAAAGCGACCAGTGTTGGTCGCTTATTGGCCAAAAAGCGACCAAAAAGCGACCAAACGTGCCTGGTCGATATTAAGCTAGTCCCTTTACCTTAGGGACCAAAGTTGGTCGCTAATTAGCGACCAACTTTGGTCTCTCAAGTCAAAGGACCAAATATTCCGGTAAAGACACTGGCGACCAACTTTGGTCGCTATATTATTTTAATATTATAAATTTTACGACCAAAGTTGGTCTCCTTTTTGTAAATTTCGTTTATTATTTATTTATTAATTACGAAGTAGCGACTAACTTTGGTCTGTATATGAAATATTATATTTTAAAATCTGAAAAATGGCGACCAATGTTGGTTGCTATACTATAAATTTTTTAATTATTTTTTTAAATAAGCGACCAAACTTGGTCGCTAAATACATGAATTAATTTTTTTATTTATTAATAAGCGACCAACTCTGGTCGCCATATTTCCAGAAATTATTATTTTTCTGGTAAATAGCGACCAATCTTGGTCGCTACTTGGGGAATCTGGGTTAAATAGCGACCAACCTTGGTCGCTATTTCACAGAAAATTATTTTTTTTAATAGAAATGCGACCAAATAGCGACCAAAGTTGGTCGCTTTTCTTGGTATATTGCTGGCAGGAACTGCCTCTTTTGGCAGCTACACCACCTGCCAGCTTACCAAAATCCTAAATAGGCAAATATGCCAACAACAGCAACAACAAGCAACAACAACAACAATTATAACGAACAAAGTATAAAGTTCAATAGAACTTTATACTTTAAGCTAATTAGCAAACTAATAAGTTAAATGTTATTACAGAACCATTCGAAAACCAATTGTATTTGTCTAGCATAAACTTATAAGTTCAAAGATTGTTCTCTACATCATTATCATCACCGTCTGATTAACTTTCTTCACCATGACGGTATCTAGAATGGGCTATTTGTCGATGATGGGAAGAATGACCACAGGGAGGACGGGGGGAATGAGCACGGGGAAGGCGAGCCTCTGGCGATGACTCACGAGACCGGGGAATTGGAAAATTGCCAGAAGCTAGGAGAGTTTTGATCTGCTCTTGCATGCCCTTGCACTGAGCTTGCATGCCAGAGTACTGCATATCTCTAAGCCTTTCTCTCTCCTTGGCGGCTTCTAGCTCGGATGTGAGCTTTGCCACAGTCTCCCGCATAGAGGAGAGGCTCTCCCCATTAAGTTGCTCGGCTTGGGAGGAAGTCCCTATTCCTTGCATTCCACACTTATAGCGATGGAATTTCATATTAGGAAGCTCGTATACCTTCCCCCCTTTTGGACGCCAGCAGCCTGCGTCCACATTCTCTCAGCATCCTCGTCCGATAGTTGGATTGGCGTGGCGGACTCATTAGGTGGCTAACTGCGTATGAATTGCTCCAGTTCAGCTGTGAAGCGACCCTATAAGAAAAATAATATGTGAATTACTATTTCCAAATTTATATAAAAGTAAATCAAAATTCTTTATGAAAAGTGAAAACTTACATGTACAGTCGAGGCTCGGCCCTCGACCCACCTTTCTTGGTCCGTCTCTTTCTTCTTCTTCACAATATGAGTCTCCTTGGAGAGCTCATCTTGGTTCATCGGACGCCCCAACTTTTTTTCCTGAAAACTCATAAATTTTAGTTAATAAACAGAATACATATACTAAGAAAATTAAAATAAATTAAGCAATTACGTACCATTCTTCGTTTTATCGTCCCTAGGCTGACCGCACCTCCAGTGTGCAAGGATCCTCCCTTCTCAGATGCTCGGGCTTTCTTTCCTTTTTCGCTCTTCTATAAGAACTCTGCTGTAAGCCATTGCCTTTGCAAATCATCCCATAAATCCTAAAGCATCTAGCCAGGCTTCTGGTTCAACTGCCTAGCTTTGGAGAAACAATGGGACAACCGCTTTCGAGCTTTGAGATGGAAGTTTGCAGCCACTTCCGCGCTATAGCGGTGTTCCCATACACACTTGCTCTGTATTTCAAAACTCAAGT